CCATGTGCAGGTATATATATGTTATATATGATATACACTGTATGTTTCCTGTACAGGTACCTGCGCGGGCGCGGGCCTCGTCCCTCCGCTCCATGAGCAGGAAGCGGGGGCTCTCTGGCAGGAAAGGCAGGGCACAGAGCTGCAGCAGGGCGGGCAGCGCCACAAATCCCAGCAAGTAGTTCCAGCGCGACTCCTGCAAAAGACAAAACAGGGTCAACCTCTGCCCATCTCCATTCTTACTGCCACTTAAAGACCACTAAGCCCCCCTAGCCACCGGATAAAAGGCCTCTATGCTGAAAAACACTCTATGATCTTACAGGACACATGCACCCTCTCCACAGCTCAACACATATTGATTTGGTAAAAAAGATTAATGTATTTGACGTTGACCAGAGTCATCAAACAGAGTGGTGGAGACCACATCGATCAGTCAGATCCCTCCCTGATGCTGGTGGATGCTTTTCCTGAGGAACCTGTCAAGAGCCCCCCAGAACACCACTGTATCATTCATTACACAGACCACAACACTGGGGCCCTAATTCCAACCCCCAACCACTACTTTGCACTACGGCAGAGGACAGGATGCTGTCCAGCCCTTGGATGATCACATATAGTGCCTCTCACTTGCCTCACATCTGCCTTACAGAGCTCTGGCTGGACAGAAGAGCACATTCAGCCACAGACTGCTTTGCATAAAATGCTGCACTGAACGTCTCTGGAAGTCATTCTTTCAGACAACCATCAGTGAATCACTCAGGAGCATGTGCAATATTCCCTATTTTTATCGATTTTATTTTATTTGTGCAATATTTGACATTTTTTCACCACAGTACTGTACTTATTTTCATATTTACCCACTTATTACCATCTCCATATGTCATACTTATTTTTATAAATGTTTTTTGCATTTTTTTTTTTACAAATCATTTCCAACCAGGATAATAAAAGTATTCTGCTTCTGGAAGCCCCTTCCCCATGAGTCCCAGAACCTGCCCACACACTCATGCGGCTGCTGACATGTCATCCCCCCATTGGCGCAGTCAGGGGGAAGGGGCGTTAGAGAGGGGCGTCTGTCCCATCACAGAAAGGCTCCCTGTGCCCTTGCAGTGTGGACTGCAGAGTCAGGAAACCCCAATGGCAATCCACTGCTGGCGTGCAACTACCCATTCGCTGTTTAATAAGCTTAATAGTGTCTCATTTTCACAGGAAAGCTGCAGGTGAGACTAGCACGTACATGGAGAGACAGCATTTTATAGTCAGATCACTGCAGGGGGGTAAACATTCTCATAGCTGTATGCAGGGACTCAGGTTAGTTTGGCACATCTAAACAGCTTGCAGAGTGTGTTTGTGTGTGAGTCGACTGGCATCCCATCCAAGGTTCACCCCCAATTCCCATCCTCAGTGACCCGGACCCAGGATAGGAGGCGGAAGGTCAGAGTGGCTGGGGGATCTTAAGGAAGCTGCCCGTTCCATCCAGCTGAGTGAAGAGCCCAGTGAGGCATCTCACAGGGACATGTGCATGCAGGACGTAATGGTGGTGACGTCAGAATGGTGTCACAGGACCCCGTCCCAGAACAGGTGACCCCGCAACTCTCAGATTAGCACGTGGCCCAGAGCCATCAGTCACTCTGTCATTCGCTGTGTGTGTAGAAGAGCTACCTCAGCCACTTAAAATGACCTGACTTTCTAGGAACTGCGTTAAAGGCGGAGGAGAGCCTGGGTCCTGAGGGCAGGGGCAGGGGGACACCCTGGATGGGATGCAGGATACATACAATCCCAATCAAACACATGTAAAAGGTCTAAAAAAAAAAAAGGTACAAAATATAAAATACAGAAATATAACAGTGTGGTGCATATAAAAAGCCATTATTGCAGAGAGCCAGTAACTATAACAAAGAAAGCACCATAAACTTAGGAAACTTATGTACAGGATGAAACGTATGTACAGGACACAGAATCATAAATATTGCAAAGAATTTACACACACACACACACTTTCATTTTCTTCATAACCATCAATACTTAAATACAAACATTTCTAAAGGCTGGAGTATAATATAGCAGCTTATTAACTAACATCTTCAATGAAAAACGTTAAAAACAAACAGGCCTTTTCTTAATAACTATTTCACCATTCCATGGTGTTACTTCTGCTGGTTACATTAGTTGGTTGCCAAGTTATTTTGCCTTCTGCAGTCTAAACAATGCAATTACAGCTAAGAAAAGGCCAAAAGATTACTCCAGCTAATAATAATTTTAGGTTTCTCATAAGACCCCTAATGATGCACAAAATAATAGAGCCATGGTTTCCCTTGCCCGGACGCGGGTCACCGGGGCCCCCCCCTGGAGCCAGGCCTGGGGATGGGGCTCGATGGCGAGCGCCTGGTGGCCAGGCCTATACCCATGGGACCTGGTCGGGCACAGCCCGAACAAGGCACGTGGGTCCCCCCTCCAATGGGCTCACCACCTGTAGGAGGGACCATAGGGGTCGGGTGCGAAGTGAGCTGGGCAGTGGCCAAATGCGGGGACCTTGGCGGTCCGATCTTCAGCTGCAGAAGCTAGCTCTTGGGACATGGAATGTCACCTCTCTGATGGGGAAGGA